CTTTCATCCGATTCATCGCTGTCATCCTTGTGTGGTCTCTTTATGCGTTCATGGGAATCCTCATCTGCGTCTTCATCTTCATCGCTGTTCTCATCTGATTCCCCTCTGACATCTCTGCGCCTCCTTCTCCTGAGCTCTTCAGAATTGTCAACTGCGTCATCATCATCTTTGTCATTGCTTTCATTGTCTTCTTTGACATCACTGGCAAGTGTGCCATCATCATTTTCATCATTTTGTTTCTCCCTGTCTTCCTTGCTCCCCTATAGAATAGAAATGGAAGTTTGTTCTAATTTCTGTATTTCACAGAGAAACAATATACCTTCAAATAGCAAATAAGTGGAATGTTTTCTGAGAGACTGCCTAATTTGTATTTTTTTTCTGTAGTGCCAAATCCTTTCCTCTGACAAGTTGATGAAGTCTGCAGATTTACAAAATGATAGACACCCCCTGGCAAGTCTCTGTAAGAGAAGTTTTCACATGTTGAAAACACATGCATATCTCTTTATGTTCCTTCTAGCGCTTTGTTCTCAAACGGTCAAGCATCCTAAGCTATGTCTAGGTGAGAAACTTGCACCATTTCAGAAGTACATCCATAGTGGTTCATGTGGAAGGATAATTCCCCAATGCGATTGTATGATTTACTTCTATTTGGCTCCATTGACTCCATAGCGGGGTCTAGAACTTAGACGTCTGAGTCCCAGTCCCATGTTCTTAACTGCTACACCCGTCACTTGCAGACTCCAGCCCCAATGGTTTGGTTTGGTTTACCCCAGCAAAGTGCCTAGTTCTAGTCAAAACCAATCAAGTTGTTTTGGTTTGTGAGACAGAACACCTTTGAAGCAACTCCTCCATTCTGAAGCAATGAAAGTACAATAACTAATACATTCAATCAAGAATGTTTTGCATGATGCTCCGAATCAGCTATTTGAGGCAGTTAGTATTATTGTTACAACATTATGTTTACACTCTTCCTGTCTCTTGAAAGGTACCCAAGGCAGCTTATAGGGTTCTCATCCACTCCATTTTATCCTCACAAAACCAATCCTGTGAGGTAGTCTAGGCTGAGTCCATAATGAACCCAAAGTAACCCAGTGAAATTCATGGCTAATTGGAGACTAGAGGTCAGATCTTCCAGTTCTATGACACACTAGCCCTTGAGGTGCTGCAGATTATAAGGTGTCTCTCTGTGTATATCTTTAAAGGCCCCCCTCTCCCAAGGAAACTACTATTTGTTAAAATATGAAATACAAGGAGAGAAGAAAGGGCAGCATTTGATTTCAGAAAAATCCAAAACTGTCAGATGGGAGGCAGCAGGAGTGGAGGTACATATGCACAATAAGCTACCTAGTCCAGGTAATTCCAATTCAATACAGATTACTTGAGCTCCTGCACAATAGTTTCAACAATGGTCCTTTTTCTCTGGATACATGAAAAACCAGAGCTTTCAAAATAACTTTCTGTACACTGGACTCCAGTCCCTGAAAGTTTACTAGGCCAAAGTAATTTTGTGACAAGGCATTTTGACTTCTGAGTGGTAGAGAGCGAGAAGCTCTTATTCTCCACCCACATCTATTCACCTTTCTCCAGCCTAGTGCAAGCCCTTGATGCCAAGGAAGGTCACACATCCACTAGAATCTGGCCACCCAGATCAAGCAGAAAGCAGGAGCAGTCCAGAAAAATGACTGCAGAGCCAAGGAGCTCCAGACTAGGGAAGTCCCAGAAAGCAACAATGGAGTCAGTATTTCAAATTTCTAAGAAGCCAAGCTGTGGTCTCCAGCTTTTTCACTTCATGACATTTCCAAAGTCATGCGGATTCTGCAGATCATTTTTTAAAGTTTCTGTAATTTTACACACATTCCCTCACAGAATTATTTGAAAACATAAAAAACTGATTAAATTCTGCATATCCTTCATAGCTTAAGCATGTAAATATGCTTTTCTTGGAGATTTGTGCATTTGGGAGGTCTGCACATTTTGAGAGTGTGAATTTGCATAAATGCATACACAATGAATGGGTGAGGGAACAAAAGGCACATGTGGATGAAATGGACTTTACAATGTTCATGCATCCCTATTCCAGACATGCTTAAGCAAGCCATATGCTTATATATTACCTTGCCCAAAACATAGCTGCTCATTTAAATCATTCTACAGCATTCAGTGGAGTTTACTCATAGCATGTGGGTACAGGATAGCAGCCTTAATGCGAGGAATCCCAGAACTTAAATACAGGGTAAAATATATTTACAATCTAATTCAGGCCAGATCCCAAAGAAGACTGCCTCTGCTACAGTATACTGGAGACTATAAGGATGAAATATAGGAAAGTGACTACATTTAGATTAGGAAAATGCTGTAGCACCAACTTTGCTTCTGTGGAAGGACTACAGTCTCTGTAGGGGAAAAAAATATGTGTGCTGTGTTAATTGGTATTCATGACAAAATCAGCCACTTCCCATAACCAATTTCTACCCAACACCAGGCGATTAATCATTCACTGGGCTTTGCACAAAAGGTATGTCAGGGAAAATATTCTCTTGACCACACTCACCTCGTTCCTGCTGACCTCCTGTCCATGACCCTGTAGGTGAAAAGAAGTGGACAATTTGTTTTAGTTTCTCCTGAAACTCAGTGGCTTCAACACAGCAAAGACTGAGTTCGCCTCCACAAGCTTCTCCACCCGCACTCCTCCTTTAACTTTTCCCACATAGCTTCAGGCAGGAAATTATACCCAAAAGCGGGGTAGGAGGGCGTGATGTCTTGTTCCAGGAAATGCTGGGGAGGCTGCAAGCAGAGGACTTCATGGCACTGCCTGCAGGTGCCTGGCTATGTTACTGTTTTTAAAAAGCTAAGAAAAGCTGTGAGCAGGCTCACCTCGTACAGTTAGTGAAGGTATGCACAACCCTCTGATGCACACCTTAATAAAGTGCTTTACTTCAGAAGGGAGTCCCTGGGCTTGTGGAATTCTCTCTCTCTCTTTTCCGCCCCACATCTCTTCCATTGCCAAGCACCATTCTATTTTTCTCTTCTTCCTTCCTCCATCCTGATCTTTCATTCTCTTTGTTATCCCTTTCAGAACAAGTCTTGGGGAATATTCAAGAGCAGAAGGTGGTGGAGAAGAGATGTTTTGAACTATATTCAACTATGCTAACAGACAAGGATTTGTTCACAGGGCGGTTCACAGGTCTGCAGAGGAAGCACTCTGTAGCTATTTTGTGTATCGGATGCCATGTATTTTGTGTATTGGACAGCAAGATTTAATAAACATAGAAAATTTGAGGAGGGAGAAGAAATACATTCTGCACATTTTACAATCCTATAAATTCCTCTCAGAAGTACATTTTCAATAGGTTCAGGGTCTTCTCTTAGTCCTCAGAAAAACCATATAGAACTGTTGCCGAGTCACTTTTTATGAAAAGGTTTGCCGCCTGTTACCCGGTGCGCTTATTGAGGAAGGAAAAAAAGTTGTGTTATGAGCATGATAATGTAGGCTTAATAAAATGCCCAGCTCATTCCATTCCACTGATCTGGCTACCTTTTAAGCCCAGTTCTGTGCTTTTTTTGTTATTAGTGCTGTTGCATTTCCTTTCTGTGTGGTGTCTAACTGTAGTGGTGAAATAAAATTACATGGAACATGCGGAGAGGTACTTTCTCCATAATTCAGCCGTACTATTGGAAACAAACTCTTGGGCTGAATGCTGGAGACATCCTGGCACAAATTATGATATGTGGGGCATGAGACAAGGAGTGCTTGCACACGATGTGGGGAGGTTGAAGTGGTCAGTATTTATTCACTGAGAGAGCATCATGAGGCCTTAACAAGGGAATATGGATGCCAGGGGACGGCATCTGATGGGCTCTGTAAAACGCCAGCAGATTGGTTTGGTTGTCACTGCTCTTTAGTTGTATATGGAGTTACAGTATTTTAATGGGAAATGTTTTTGGCTCTTTTCAATGTTGTATATTTAATCTTGTAAGTCGCCTTCTGTTTTTTTCTACAGAAAGCAGTAATGATTAGTGCAGTCCTATCCAGAGTGTTTGGAGCCCAAGCTCTGAAATTGGAGAACAGCTCTGGTATCAGAAAAGAACTCCAGCTCTGGGACTTGGACTCCATGATCAGAACTACCTCTTCCCTCTTTCCCATAGTTACTGCAGAATAAAGATGCTGGGTGCTTCCCTGACATTGCAAAAGTGATCTCAAAGAAAGGGCTTAGAGTGCATTCTGAAGGAAGGGGAGGAAACCAGCACGGCCAAGACACAAGATATCCTAGCAGTGCCTCAGCATTCTCCCCACCATCTCTGGCATGCCATGCTTAGTCAGGCCAAATGGGCTAACTAGCAGCTGTGGAGGATGGGAGGAGAGAATGTTTCTATGCTCCTCCCAGCTTACATAAGATGATCATTATGCTGTGCATTCAGATGGTTATAGGTATCCCCATATGATTGAACCCTTGGAAATACAGCAGCAGCAGCAGCAGCAGCAGCAGCAACAACAATGTTCTCTTATACCTAATTGTTTCCATTTATGAGATCTGCTCACCTTCTTATTAAGGAAATGCTAGTTCCTGTTGTGCTAGCACTTCTTTCTGCTAGGGTGGAGTGACCAGTAATAACAGTTATTTAGTTTGTGTGGGATTTCCTCCACTAATATTAAGTGTGTGCAGAAGGACTTTCTTTAATTCACTAGGAAATTTTGCTAAGTGGCAAAATGTAAATTAATTCTAGCAATTCTAAATTTGCACACACACATATAGGCCAGTTTGTGTTGTAGGCCTGGGCCTGAATCCATTAAGTACTGAGGAACATCCCTCCCTGAGCTGTGTTTCCTTTCTCATTTCATTTCCTTGGGCACTAACCTACCCAGACTTGCTGCTCAGCTCCAGCCCACATGCAGACTATTTCTTTTCAAGCTGGCTCATTATTTTGTTTTGATAGGATGATGGTGTAATTTTATATACTCCAATTCAGAAGCATTGTGGGTAGTTTCAAAAAGCATGATCTGTGCTCTTGAGGAACTGCTCCCTTGCCTACTTCACTACAAAAACAACTTGAGCCTGAACTATTAATGAAGCTTCTCACTGGAACAGAAAGGCAGAACAGTTTGATTTAAAAGCTTAAATAGTCCGAATCAGGAGTAGAGGGTCATACTTGCACTGTCACTGATTTAATGGATGAAACCAAAAAGACAACAAGAAGAGTGCACAAGTCTGTGTACATCTGTGAATCCATGCTGAAGAGCAACCCACAGCCAAACCATGGGTTCTTCTTCTGGCATGTCAAGGCAAAGACAAATCAGAGGTCTGGGTTCAGATGCAATGCTGCTCACAAACAGTTTGCTGCTCTCTGTGAGTGCCTAAGCAAACCAAGGATATTACAATCCACAAACTAGGAGAAATGGTTGAAAGTTCATAAGTAACCTCTAAAAAACATTCACTAGGTTCCCATCTAAAATACCCACCAGGCTTACCTTTAATGGAGCTGCTCTGGACTTCTCCAAGGCTAGAAGACAGAAGAGAAGAACAGTAGCCAGAAAGTACAGCTTCATTGTGCCCAGACGTAGGCTCTCTGAAACAGTTCTTCAGGTTTTAAGACCTTGTTGTGATGTTACTCAGGTCTCTGATCCCTTCTTATACCCAACAGGGAGCAATAAATGCCACAAAGGTGACCAAATACTTCCTCCTCTTATGCTTACCCTCCTGTCCATCTGCCAATAAATGCATATTTCTCATCCCTGATTTCCTTGTCCTTATCTCATTCCTTCTTTGTTAAAAATTTCCTATTTTTCTTGGCATTCCTGAATCCTTGAGCAAGAGCAATAACAAGAATATCTAAAAGTTCCAGCAAAGCTGGAAGTTCTGATGCAACCCCAAATATTTAAATAACTGTTTGAGTATGATGTTTGTGAGGAACTGCTACAATTATTTTACTGAGGTTTTACAAAATTTAAAGAAGAAAGAATGACTATTGGAATTAAAGAGCTTCCATTCATATACAGTATATGCTCGATAAATATTTTCTCATGGTGTAATTGTGAATTTGGCTTTTCAGGCTGCTTTGACTATTAGGTAGTAATAATTGTATGTCTTAAAATAATACTCTAACTAGGATCCGAAGCCAAAAAAGTATATAAAGTTGACAATGCAAGTTAAATTATTTGATGCAAATAGTTAAAGATTGCAGCTGAGATATCATGCATAAATCTGATGCAACAATTATGAATTATGCCTTTGTTTCAATGAATGTTAAACTGAACCACTTTCAAATTGAGATCTGTTGGGACATACAGGATGGGGAGAAAGGAAGCAAAGAGGAAAACAGGTTCAGTGACTGATAATGCCTAGAATACTGGCACCATTGACTAGCTTGATATGAAAATATCAACATGTACTTTTCATTTTTAATACATTTATTATTCTTTAGATATTGCAAAGATAACTCATTGACCAATAAACATATCCTGTATGCTTAGACAACATCATGATACTTGTAATAAACCAAATATATCTTCTGCATCTGAAAAGGGTCTTGCAGAACCAAACCCAGGCCCATTGTTTCTCCAAAAAAAGAACGATTAATCTAATTTCACATGGAAAGGATCAGTGCTTATCAAGTCAGCTTGCTAAAGCTTCACTTTTCCCGATGGTGATCTCTGAAGCAAGTGTCGGGTGAAAAGAATTTAGCAGCCACTAACAAGAGTGAGGCTGCAATCTGATGCTCACTTAAGGCTTAATTCAGCAGGGCTTACTCCTGAGCAGATCTGTATATAGTTGCACTGTAAGTTTTCATCCTCTTTTCTAACATTCCTTTGACTTAAAAACATAAGAACATCAGAAGCACTGTGTTGGATAAGACCAAAGATCCATCCAGTCCAGGATTTTGTTCACTCAAGTGGCTAGTCAGTTGTTCACAGAAACCCATAAGTCAGATATGAATGCACTAGCACCTTTCCACCCATGTACCCCAGCAACTGATGTACATAAGCATACTGCTTCTGAGACATACTGCCTCTGATATGTTAGATTACTCCAGTTTTCTCCATTAGACTCTCCTTCTAGGGAAACCTGTTGAATAATGTATTTGATCTCTTTTTAATACAGTTTTTATGTTTATAGACCGCCTTTCTTCCACTGTGGAAGTCAAGATGGCTACCTAGAGTTTCCAGGTGGTTTCCACTCCAAGCACTGACCAAATCCAGACCTGACAATCTTTAGGAAAGTACCTGGCTTGTGCACTTTCACATAAAGCCCTGGGATTTAAGGCAAGATGATACAGACCCAGGACCACAGCTGGGTGGAAGACAAAGGATACATTGCCTTGCATGGTCCACACAGTGGACCATGCATACATGTGACTTCAAGGGACCAGGCCTTCCAAAATCAAAAGATGGCAGGACAAAGGCTGGTCATTGGAGATTGATTGGTGAAAAGGGACATTCAGCATTCAGGGACAGATTTACCACTAGGCAGAATGAGTGAGATGCTTCAGGTGGTAAATGATGGGAGGCAGTAGTAGGATTTATTTGTTTGGTTATTTCATTTACATTCTACCTTTTAAGGAACTCAAGGCAGCTTACCTAATTCTCCTCCTGCTACTGTCAATCTTATCCCCAGAACAACAACCCTATGAGGTAGAGTGGACTGGGAGTTTGTGACTGGCTCAAAGTCACCCAGTTCACTTCATGGCTGAGCAGGCGCTAGAACCCGGATGGCCTGAGTCCCAGTCCTGCACTCCATCTTGGCTGTCAGGTGCTGGATTTCAGCATCATCTAGACTGCTCTGCACTCCCCAAATTAGATTGCTGCTCTCAGGTACAGTGGAGAAAGCTATCCTATCTGCCAGTTTGGTTAGCTTTTATACATCTAATGGGACCAGGCATCATCTCGCTTTTTGACTCAGTCAGGAAAATGTCTTTGTCTGCCTTTTTGGAAGTAGCATTCTGTATGGTATTGCAGAGCTGCAATGATATACACACTTGCCAGGGACTGAGCCCCATTGGATACAATAGGACATTGTAGTGTGACAAATCCATTCAATTTTCATTTTAATACAAACTTAGAGTGCAATCCTTTGACCAGTACATGCTATCTAGTTGATGATAGGAAAATTCAGAGCAATAACTTTGACCTTGAGACTGAAGCTGGGGTTCAAATTCATAGTGCCTTTCCTCATCTGGAAGCTGGAATGGTTCTTTTTGTACAGGCTGCAATTCCAAGGATGGAAGATGAACTTTGGACCTGCAGAGGGTGGGGTAACATTACAGGGGGCAGGAAGGAGCAGAGTGAAGTTCTCCCAGGATATGAGGAATCCCTCATTGCCTCAGCTGCTCTTCCTTGCAACAGGGATAAAGCATTTAGATGGGCAAACTCAACTTCCTAAGTGTTTTGGAATGCAATCCTTGCCTCCTTGCTCTGTCTGCCTTCCATTTGATGCCTGTAACCCTCTAAATTTGGAGGTTTATGGGCAGTAACATTGGATCACATAGTTAATTTCACACAATCAAACCAAAGCTCCAACAAAAACTCAGTTATCCTGCAAAATGCACATTTCTCTGAAATTTGCAATGGAATTTCTAATAAAAACAGCACATAAAAAGCATATATTAATGAAAAGAACTATCAGAAATGCATTAGGAAAAGTGCTTGCAAAATATGTATATTAGGTAATGTTCTGTAGTAAGAAGTATGTATGTGTATATACAAATCCCAGGGCTTTTTTCATTCAAGTACAAAAAATTGGAACAAATAGAAATTAAGAATGAAAAAATGAAAGGCTGAGAAAAATGTAAATCGAGCCATCCATCCCTTACTTAAAAACAGATATAGGATACCACTTTAAAACAGGTAAATCAAGTACCATGGCTTTGGGGCACAGCCTCATGATCTCCATGATGGGCTTCCATTGATAAACTCTTTTTTAAAAATCCCAAAATACATCTCAGATATGTCAGGACAGTGTAATTTTTTTGGTGCTTATGGCTGTAAGACACACACACACACACACACACACACACACACACACACAAATAATATGGCCAAATCACAAAAATAACAAAAACCTATATATTACATCATGGAAGAATGTAGGTTGCCTTAAAATGAAGTAAGCATTTTGATGAATTTAAAACAAAAAATAGATTTAGCCATAATTCAAGTTTAGTCAGAAACATATTTCAAAAGTCTTCTGTACTGCTGTGACTAAACAAAGATGTGGCAATACTGATCTGCAAAAATGGAAAATGACAACTTCTAGAGTTGTAATGCCTTAGGCTTTGAAGGTAGATTTATTCTAGTGGAACAAAGAAGAAAGCTTTGTGTTCACAGCACAGGGCAGGCCACCTGTGGCAAAAAATTGCTCTAGCACAAACAAAAGTGGAATGAGAAGCTAGTGCTGGCGAGGAGCGCTTTCCTTCAGCTTCGGCTGATCCATCAGCTGCGCCCCTACCTGGAGAACGACTGCCTGGCGACAGTGACGCACGCGTTGGTGACTTCCCGACTTGACTTCTGTAATGCGCTCTACGTGGGGCTGCCCTTGAAAACGGTCCGGATACTTCAATTGGTTCAAAATAGAGCTGCCAGGCTGCTGACGGGGACTGGGCATTATGTTCACATGACTCCAGTCCTCCGTCAGCTTCACTGGCTTCCCATTGAAGTCCGGGCCCAATTCAAGGTGTTGGTGATGACCTATAAAGCCCTTAACTGCTTGGGTCCTGGTTACCTGAAGGAGCGCTTACGTCCATATATGCCCGCCCGCCCCTTGAGATCAGTGGAAGAGGCCCTTCTCCAGCAACCCTCTGTGAAGGAAATTAGGAGGGTAAATACTCGGAGGAGGGCCTTCTCTGTGGTGGCACCCACTCTATGGAATGTGCTCCCCAGAGAGGTCTGCCTGGCGCCATCATTATTTGTTTTTCGGTGCCAGGCGAAGACCTTTTTATTCAAATGTTATTTTAATTGTTAATATTATTTATTAATTTTATTCTTTGGCCAGGGCGACTTAATTTATATTGTTAATTTATATTGTTTTATTGATTTTTATTTATTTATTGTTGTAAGCCACCCCGAGGCTTCGGTGAATGGGGCGGCATAGAAGTCGCCTAAACAAACAAACAAACAAACAAACTGAAAGTTAGCTGAAGCAACCACTTTTAGAATAGGGTAAATCAGTGCTTCCTGAATGTCGTCCTTAGCATTGGTTTTCTGCTCCCTAGGGCTTCTTTCAAATAATGCTGCAACAGGTTGTGTACTGTGTTAAAATACTTGTCTCACTAGCCCAGTATTGTCAGAGTGTCTGTGCTTCACCAGGCTCTTCGGTAGAAGTCTTGAAGTTCGCCTGCTACCATTTCTGAACAAAGTGGAAACTGAATTGGATGTGTTGCTGTATGTTTGCAAGTCACATGTCCTATCAGTGAGCTTGTATTGGATGGTAGACATTTCATCAACAAACACCACTTCAGTCAACTTAAATCTAAGGTTAAGGAAGGGACAGTGATTCCGAGGCAAAACACTTGCTTTGAATCAGAACTTCATGCTTCATTTTGGCTGGGAAAAGC